AGATAAGAGTCCAAAATCTGAGGGGCCACAGAATCCCCCATATATAACATTTTCAGCTCCTAGAAGAAAAGGTGGCTATAGATGTAATTAAGGAAGCATATATTACTCAGTATTTTAAATCTTACAAGATTCTATTGTTTGTGTTACCACAAATAAACACATCTTTGTGTGAGATAGAGAAAATCCATGGGATAATCACTTTAGGCAACATCATTAATATACAGAATTTGGAGCAGAGTTGCAATGCATGTCTCCTGCCTTTTCTTTTCCAGAGCCGAATCTGCCATATTTATATTGCTTCTGGCACGTGGAAGAATTAAAATGCATGCAGTAGCAACAAAGAAACATCAGTAGTGGCAGAAAGCTGTCAACTTCAGGTCACTTGTATCTCCAATGCAAGGCTTCTGGATGGACCCTAAGAGCCAAGGTGGTTTGGGAGGGATGACTCTTTCTCCAATGTGGCATCGTTTCTGGCTTTTTTGAATGCATAGGCTAGGGGCAACTGGTCCCAAGGCAGTGCTGGCATTCTCTCTGCAGAATAATGACTTTTCAATGGGTCATATTAAAATCCACAATTTTGATCTCCAAACCTGCCTTTGACTTATATATGAGGTCAATTTATATATAAGTATTTAAGGTCATTGTTCTTGGGAGGCACACTGGGTTTAGCTCCAGGAAAAGGTGGCATATAAATAACACTATGTAACAAAATTTGAAAAAAAATATGTTCCTGGTTTGAAAATGTTATTTCCTGTTTAATTGTGAGGTATTTACTTTGGAAGGAGTTGTTCTACTCCAGAGATTTCATTTTTGTGGCTGCCACAAACTAATTGAATTGGTTGAGACTCTATGAGAGATTAATCGAAAAACTATAGCAAAATGTGCTGCAGCATGTCCTACAAAACAAGGTTTTTGCTGTTTAATAAACTTTTCCCATGTTTTTATGATAGAAGCAATTAGGAAATGACATTTATAACCTAGAAACAAAAATCTTGTTACATAGTGTATCATAATTAAAAACGAATAAATAAGTGCAATAACAGAATTTAATGCAAATCAAAATAAATGAATTCGCTACCTACAGGGATGCAGCTGTGAGAGAACAAAGATCCTAGAATCTTTGCCACTAACTGGATACTTAGAATCATTGAAACTGATACTTTTTCTTACCTTTCACTTAAATTACCATGGGGAAGATCTGCAACAGAAACAAAAAGAGCCGGCAGGTTTTAACAACATGCAACGTGTGTGTTCTGTGTCATCATGGTTAACTACATTAAGTTTAGTCGCGTAAGGGTTGGTGCTCATCTCCATTTCTAAGCTGAAGAGCCGGCGTTGTTTGTAGACGCTTCCTAGGTCATGTGGCCAGCATGACTGCATGGAGTGTTGTTACCTTCCCGTCAATGCAGTACCTATTAATCTACTCAAATTTTTTCATGTTTTCCAACTGCTAGGTTGGCAGAAGCTGGGACTAACGACGGGAGCTCGCCCTTTTCTGCTGATTTGAAGCGTCGACCTTCTTGTCAGTGAGTTCTGCAGGTTAGCGGTTTAACTAACTTGCAGAAGACTAGTGGGAACGAGGGAGAGAGCCTTCTCCGCTGTGGCTCCCCGTCTTTGGAACTCACTACCTGGGGAGATTAGGCAAGCCCCCTCCTTAGCAGACTTCAAGAAATATCTGAAAATCTGACTTTTCAGATGTGCCTTTGGAGAGTGACCATCCATACCATTTGCATTGCCCCATCTATAGTGTTGTACCTATGACGCACTTTCCCCCATGCTAAATTGAAACCCTTACCCCACTGTTTTATTTTCTTGGGGGCCCCTCACTTACATATTTCCTATTTCTAACTTACCCGGGGTTTTATCATTTTATCTTGTCCCCCGGTGGCGCAGTGGGTTAAACCCCTGTGCCGGCAGGACTGAAGACTGACAGGTCGCAAGTTCGACTCTGGGGAGAGGCAAATGAGCTCCCTCTATCAGCTCCAGCTCCTCATGCGGGGACATGAGAGAAGCCTCCCACAAGGATGATAAAAACATCAAATCATCCAGGCGTCCCCTGGGCAACGTCCTTGCAGACGGCCAATTCTCTCACACCAGAAGCGACTTGCAGTTTCTCAAGTTGCTCCTTACACGCCAAAAAAAAAAATCTTGTCCGTTTGGCCTGCCCATCCTGTTTGATTTTATATTGTGTTAATTTGTGTTATTATGTCATTTTGTTATTGTAATTTATTTTCTGATGCATTTTGTTTTTTGTATTCTGTTTTTTACTGTGCTGTATTGTGTTTTAAAAGGGCTTGGCCTCATGTTAGCCGCTCCGAGTCCCCATTGGGGAGATGGTGGCGGGGTATAAAGTTTATTATTGGGTTGTTGTAGGTTTTTTCGGGCTATATGGCCATGGCCTAGAGGCATTCTAGACCTCTAGATTAGGAGATTCTAGATTAGGAGAGAATGCCTCTAGACCAGGGGTCCTCAAACTTTTGAAACAGAGGGCCAGGTCACAATCCCTCAAACTGTTGGAGGGCCGGATTATAATTTGAAAAAAACATGAATGAATTCCTATGCACACTGCACATATCTTATTTGTAGTGCAAAAAACACTTTAAAACAATACAATAATTAAAATGAAGAACAATTTTAACAAATATAAACTTATTAGTATTTCAATGGAAGTGTTTGCTTTTGGCTGATGAGATAGGATTCTTGTGGTTATGTGCTTTCAAATAGTTTCAGACTTATGTTGATCCTGAGTGAGGGCCGGGTAAATGACCATGGAGGGCCATATCCGGCCCCCGTGCCTTAGTTTGAGGACCCTTGCTCTAGACCAGTGGTTCTCAACCTGGGGTTCCCAGATGTTTTTGGCCTACAACTCCCAGAAATCCCAGCCAGTTTACCAGCTGTTAGGATTTCTGGGAGTTGAAGGCCAAAAACATCTGGGGACCCCAGGTTGAGAACCACTGCTCTAGACCATGGCCATATAGCCCGAAAAAACCTACAACAACCCAGTGATTCCGGCTATGAAAGCCTTCGACAATAGAAGTTTATTATTATTATTATTATTAACCCGCTGTGCCACCGCGGCCCCACCTCATTATGTATATATATGCAGATAGAGATATACCAAAATCCTCCCCACCAATCCAAAACATTTTTGGTTCCGAGCACTTTGGATAAGGGAAACCCAAATATAATTGCTAAAAAAACAAAAACAGCAACAGAATAAATATGGAAGACACACTGAGGCCAGGAATTGTGGGAGTTGAAGTCCAAAACACCTGGAGGGCCGAAGTTTGCCCATGCCTGGTATAAACTTACATCTAAACTCTGGGATCAAATATTAGCTTATATGGTAGTGTAGAAGAGGCCTCAGTCTCACAACTACAAGTCCCAGGACTCCACAGGGGGGAGCCATGGCTGTCAAAAGGTCTACACTTGTGCTGTGTGGACAAGCTACTCTCCTCAGAGCTGCGCTCCAAACACAGCCAAGCTCCCCCTTCTTCAGCCTCTTTAGCAAAGAGGGAAACCCCTCCCTTTTGGAGCACTCCCTCCCTCCCTTCCCCCAACGCACCTGCGCGCGGCTCCCCCATCCCGCGCGCGCCAGAACAGGAGCCAAAACAGAGCGCAGGAAAGGCCGGAAAGCCCCCCTCCCCCCCGGCGCGCACACGCTTCCGGCTAGGCCCTCGCGCGCGCGCACACACGTTTGTTTACAGTCGCCCCAGCAACTGACGGCGCGCGCAGCTCCTTCTTTCCTTCCTTCCTCCTCTTCTTCCCGCCAGAGGGCGCCATTATATACCACGGCATGTTTGTATTGTACTTTATACAATGGTATAGGCATTATACCACAATTGAAGAGAGATATTGACAAGCTGGAATGTGTCCAGAGGAGGGCGACTAAAATGATCAAGGGTCTGGAGAACAAGCCCTATGAGGAGCAGCTTAAAGAACTGGGCATGTTTAGCCTGAAGAAAAGAAGGCTGAGAAGAGACATGATGAGGGCCATGTATAAATATGTGAGGGGAAGTCATAGGTAAGAGGGAGCAAGCTTCTTTTCTGCTGCCCTGGAGACTAGGACGCAATGGCTTCAAACTACAAGAAAGGAGATTCCATCTGAACATTAGGAAGGACTTCCTGACTGTGAGAGCTGTTCAGCAGTGGAACTCTCTGCCCCAGTGTGTGGTGGAGTCTCCTTCTTTGGAAGCTTTTAAACAGAGGCTGGATGGCCATCTGTTGGGGGGGGGCTTTGAACGTGATTTTCCTGGATGGCCATGAGGTCTCTTCCAACTCTAAGGTTTTTCCCTGATATTAAGTCCGGTCATGTCCAACTGAGGGTCGGTGCTCATCTCCATTTCTAAGCCGAAGAGCCGGCGTTGTCCATAGACACCTCCAAGGTCATGTGGCTGGCATGACTGCATGGAAAGCAGTTACCTTTGCTGGAGCGGTACCTATTGACCTACTCACATTTACACGTTTTTTAACTGCTAGGTTGGCAGATGCTAAGGCTAACAGCGGAAACTCACCCCACTCCCCAGATTTGAACCGGTGACCTTTCCGTCAGCAAGTTCAACAGCTCAGAGGTTTAACCCACTGTACTACCAGGGGTTCAAAGGAGCAGAATATAAATACGGTATATTATCATCACCATCATCATCTTGTAGTTGGATGTGCTGCAAGGTAATCTTTTAGGAACTATGGGAAAATAGCTTATATAAAAAGTTAAGTTTTTTTTACTATTATAATTTTTTTTTAAATTGTATAAAAAGTTAGCTTTTTTGAACTTTTGGGAAATAGTTCAAAGCTATGGATGGTGGAATCAATAGATGCAGAATCCATGGATACAGATGATCAATTGTAGCTAAAATCATTTGGAATTATTTCTGAATAGATGGCAACTGCAGTTAACAAGCAGTAGTCCTTTTTGGGAATAGGCATCAATGAATGTATTGGGAATAAAACACTTGGATGAAGTCTTGTTAAAATCATCACACCAAACTACTCCCAAGGAATTATAAAAACAGGTTTTATTGCCAGGTATCTGGAAAGGGACACCTGAATTCAAAGAGATGTCCAGCAAGATGTTCTCAGCAAGGTGTCCATTAAAGACTGTTCAATCCATGGAATTTCAACTGCAAGGACTAGGAGCATGGCCTTCTTTGCCAAAGAGTGCTTATGTCTCACTAAATTACAACTTCCATGATTCCTCAGCATTGAGTCATAGCACTGGAAGTGGTTCCAAACTGTATTCATTCAACAGTGTAGATACACCCCAACGTGACTTGGTCCTAGAACCCTCTGCATAATGAGTAACATTTTCTTCAACCACCCTTTTCATTTGAAGCTATGTGAGTAATATAATAGTTTCTCCAAATATTGTTAGATCCAGTATTCTTCAGCACTAGATATGCTGGTGGGATGGGATTTGCAGTCCAATAACATCTGGGCTGTATGATTGCCACTTCTACGCCAGCTCTTGAGGTTGCATTTCTGTTGTCTAATAAACTATCGGGACCACACCACATTCAGGAAAATTAAACTCAAGACAGCAAAGTAGGATGAAAATATTTTGATTTTATAGAAAGGAACTGCTTTAGCATACAAGTGGAAAAACCTCTCTAGAAAACATTTGTACTGTTTCTACTGTTACAAAAAGAACATTGAAAAGTATAGACAGTTTTTCTGCAATGCAAGAAGTGCTTCCACCTCACCTTTACCTTGTCAATCTTTGTATCCTTTGCTGTTTTCTTAATACCACTTCACAAAGTCATAAAGGAAGTGGGAAGAAAGGGGAAGTCTGCATTGAGCTCTTCCTTTACCGATGCAGATTATGTGCATGAGGTATTTTATAGATTGTTTCAGAACTTAAAAGAAAACTCAGTATAGCAGCAGTCCGATGTATTCAAACATAGATTCAAACACCAAAAGGATAGGAGCCCCCTGTTGGTGCAAGGGGTTAAAATGTTGTGTTTGAATCTGGGGAGCGGGGTGAACCCCGTCTGTCAGCTCCAGTTTCTCATGCRGGGACATGAGAGAATTCTCCCACAGGATGGTGAAACATTCAGGCATCCCCTGGGCAATGTCCTTGCAGATGGCCAATTCTCTCACACCAGAAGCAACTTGCAGTTTCTCAAGTTGCTCCTGATACAGGAAAATAAAACAAAAGGATGTGCTTTGTGTTTGCACTGGTCTCCCTAAACCTTGCATTTCTATTTGTTCTGGTAGCAAAAAGAGATCTTCAAAGCATTCAGCCCTTCCAGAGTTCCACACAACTTCGGACAATGCAGAAGAAACTTTGGAGAGAAAAGAGCGGGTTTCAGAAAAACAGTTGCTACTCCTAAGCATCCAGATTTTGAGATGCATGGAATCACAACCATATTAATGAAAAATGTTTAAAATACTGTTTTAATAGGGTGAAACCCTGAAAGACAGGCAGCTACTTTGGGGGGGGGGCAATGGATGAAAGGTGGAAGAGCATCTCTGCTTCCACCTAGAATTGTTCATGTGTCAACTTCATGGAGTTTGGACTGATCAAAAAGAAGAAATTGATTATTCTCCCTGTGCTATGTAATTTGGAATGAAAACACTATTTAACATGCTTTTTGTTCCTCAGTTATAAATGTAATTTCTTAATTGGTTCTATCATAAAAACATGAAAAAAATTATTAAACTGCAAAAACTCACTTTCTGCAACATGTTGTCAAAGGTTTTAATGGCCGGAAATGCCTGGGTTGCTGTGAGTTTTCCGGGCTGTATGGCCACATTCCAGAGGCTTTTTCTCCTGACATTTCACCCACATCTATAGCAGGCATTCTCAGGGGTTGTGAGGTCTGTTGGAAACTAGGCCACAGGATCTGACATCTGTGAAATAACCACGGAGGGAGAAATAACTCTCGTCTGTTTGAGGCAAGTGTGAATGTTGCAACTGACCACCTTGATCAGCATTTAATGGTCTTGCAGCTTCAAAGCCTGGCCTATTGCTGCCTGGGAGGTGTTGGGAGGTTTCAACTGGCCCTGATTGATTGTCTGGAATTCTCCTGTTTTTTGAGTGTTGCTCTTTATTTACTATCCTGATTTTAGAGTTTTTTTTTAAAAATACTGTTAGCCAGATTTTGCTCATTTACATGGTTTCCCCCTTTCTGTTGTAATTGTCCACATGCTTGTGGATTTCAATGGCTTCTTTGTGTAGCCTGACATGGTGGTTTTCAGAGTGGTCCAGCATTTCTGTGTTCTCAAATAATATGCTGTGTCTAGGTTGACTCTGCTATAGCAGAGCACCCAATGAATTGGATTTTCTTATTAGCAATACTACTCTAGAGCTTTCACAGCAGACTTAAAACCATCCTACAAGATGCTTGTGAAAATGCAAAAGTATTGTGGGAGTCACTAATATTTCCCCACAGACCATAAGTACAATATGACTCCCATCTCCACAGGTAACATGTTCCTGGACTGTGTGGATATGCAAAACTGTGGATAACAGCAAACACTATTATAATAGAGAACTTTGGGCCTAATACCACAAAGTTACCCTGGAGGACTTAGAAAATGCCTAGAGGACATATTTTGTGGATGTGGAAAAACAAAACCATGGGTATCAGTTCCACACATATGGAGGTTGTCCTGTGTGTCACAGGAAACCAAACTACAGGAAAAGCATCATTTTCTAGTATTATTAGTTCATGAATACCAAAATCCTCAGAAATGAGCATGCTCATGAGATTTTGTTTGTTTTTCTTTCCAGAAAGAAAGAAGAGGCATTAACAAGGTTAGGAAGTAGATAGGGCCACCTGCACATTGATTCCTTCACTGCAGAGGGAGAAATGGGCAACTAAACTGGGATCTTATCTGAATGCCTGGAAAATTCAAAGCTCTCTAAATGCTGGGTGCAATAATCTATATATGTCCTCGTTCCCAATGATTAGGTCCAGCAGCTCTCTCTGAATCTAATGTCCTGTTCAGTATTACTTAGGGAACATGAATAAATAAGAATATGTACACTTACACCAAAGGAGTGTTGTAATAGGAAACAGCTTTCCAATGAAGAAAATAAATCTAAGAGGAAACGGCCGTGGAGTTAATGAGGAACACAAACGGCTCTCTGAATGTATGCAATTAGTCCTTGCTTCTTTATGCTACATTCATCAAAGGTTCCTTTCAGTGTAAATATACTTTTTCTCCAGCTTCCCAATTAACATGTACACAGCTTCAGCTAAAATCAACAGTAGTTACCTACAGAAGCGGCATGTGCTTCCTTCATTTAAGGAGGTTCAGTAATTCCACTTTTGTTCCACATTTCAAAGACAGCGCTACTTTTCAAATAAACATAAATACATTTAAAAATGGTCTTCCCATTTCTTAAAAATCGTCTTCCTTGGAACACCATACCTGAGGATATCTGCCAGATCTTAATTTAAAGTAACAATTTATGGCTGGCAATACAAGAATACTGGTGTGCCCTGTTGTGGTGGCCCATTCCATTTCCTATTACAGAGCTTCTGATACTAGTTGTGAAATCAGTTCCCGTGTGTCTTTCAAACTAGAAGAGATCTCTAAGCCGTCTTTTGCCACATGAGTACCAATGAGGAACATCTTTCTCTCGTCTCCAAGTTCGGACAATGCCAAAGCCTCATGAATGTCTGTGATACAGTATGCGCTTCCAAGATCCTGCCCAGAAAAAAAAAATACAAATAAAGGTATTATGCCATGTATCATATCTTTCCATATCTGTCTCCCCTCCCAAAATCATACTATCTTACCTGGTACAGCTGCAGAATGGGGGAAAGCTACACTGCCATATAATCCAGGTTATCAAAGCAGATAATCCACATTATCACATTTGAACTGGATTATATGAGTCTACACTGCCATATAATCCATTCAAAGTAGATAATCTGGATTTTATCTAGCAGTGTAGATGGGGCCTGAGTCACTATGACTGAACAGGGTACACTAGCTCTTTCGGTGGGATTTCCTCCCAAATGCCATTCACACACTTCATGTTATCCACTGCATTCAGTGGGTAGTCTTTAAGGGGATCCTACTTGCATTCACCCAAAAGTGTCATGGGGGCAGGGCTTTGAATCAGAAGTCCAGGGTCTCATACATTAAAAGAAGCAGAAGGGCTTCTAGATATGGAAATGATGGTTCCCTATATTTTAGAGTAAGTCAAGGAGCTATGATCTAAAGGGTATTAAGATCAAAGCCTGATACCACCTTTTGGTGTCTCCTTAGAGAGAGAAGAAGCAGGATATTAAATAATAATAATAGTAATACCACAACACACTGTTTCTGTACACTGATACAAAGAAAACAATGTGAGGTTGTGGAGGGGTCAGAACTCACCTACAGTCCGCAAAGGCCTTTCTGGACCGTTGTTGTGGAGGCCTGATATTGAGTCTTAAGACTGCTTTACTATCAGACACCCAAATGAAATCCTGGCAGTTATTATTATCTGCACCTAAGAAGAATGATCTACAAAAGGTCAACTTAATACCTGTCTTTTTGGGACCCCAGATATGCTCTGCTTCCCTGCCAGAGCGCCCAATGCAAAATTCCATTCCAAGTTCCAGTGTTCACATTTACCTGCTTATTGGCCAGAACCATAACAGGCAAGGTGGAGTTACTTTGGACAAGCTGATGAAGAAGCTTCTTAGCAACTGGTAGGCGTTCATGATCAGCTGAATCCACAACATAGATTAGCAGCAGGCCTTTTGGCAAGTACATCTTCCAATAGTCACGTAACGTCTCGTTCCCACCAACTGCAAGCCACAGAAAGACAAAAGGGCAGCAATACTGTAAGAAAATAACTGTATTTTTCATCAATATCTCTTCTCTGCTCCCATTTTCAAACTAGTTTCCTCATCATTCTGAGATTCCTTGGAAAAAGCCTAAAAAAGAGAGTCAACCCAGTTTGACATCACTACACATTATACGAAGCTACAAGGCAAGTATTCCTTTGATATCGGGCTTATTTTTAATGGTCAGTATAAGAGTATTGGGGCTAATGGTACCGGATTCTGTCTGATTTTGGATGCTAAGAAGGGTCAGCTATGCTTAGTGCCTGGATGGGAGACTGCCAATAGATTCTAGGCTGTAGGCAAAATACATCACAGCATCCTCAAAAGACTCTTCCTTGAGATCTTACAGAGCTACCATCCATGAGAGTAGGAAACACTGGGCTTGATGAAAACAAAACCAAATGTTTATAGGTATCTTCTAGGGATGCTACACAAATTACAAATGTGGAACTTGTTTCTAAAAGGATACAAAATAAAAAAAATGGAAACATGAGTTATAAGTAGCGGCATATTGTTGGCTAGTAGTAGTATGTTATGTACAGATCAAAGCTACCAAATATATAAAATCACTTCCCTATGTGGCTTGGGAAATTGCATTTTATTGCAAAATAACCCATATTCCCCACACATTTTTGTGAATTCCTGTAAAATTTGTTCAGATTGATTTGGTATTTTTTAGAAACATATTTCACAAATGGTTCCACATGGACTGTGCTCAGATACCACACAATTCAGAATCACAGAGTTGGAAAGGATCGCAGTGGCCATCTATTCCAACCTCTGGACTTTCAAGGCCAGTGCCTTCCCATCGGGGCTGAAAATCCAACTTGCAAATTCCACCAATGTAAATATTACTGGAGAGCATATTGAAAATTCCTTGTGAAATCAGGAACATGGGTCTTAAAAGTGCTTAAATCTTTGTTGAATGGCTCAGATCTATATTTATTTATTTATTTATTTATTTATTTATTTATTTATTTATTACTGCATTTGTAGACCGCCGTTCTCAGCCCTAGGGCGACTCATGGCAGTGTACAACATATAAAAACAACTTACAATATAAGCAATAACACAAGCAACAATAACAACATYACTGTCAATAATACAATTACACTAAATCATTCGYGACGTCTCATCATAGAATCACAATCCGATCTCGTTATCCATGTTCCGTTCCAATCGTCATTGCCAATTGTTGTAGCACTTAGTCAGTTGTATTCCAACCAAGTCCATGACTATTTTGAAATTAAACTTGTTTACTCCATCCCCATTTATACTCCATTTGTTCCCATTATATTGTAGTCAGAGTACAAGGGTATCATTTTTAGCTTTCTAAAATTTCTTAAACTTTAGTAGGGAAAACAATTTTCCTGCCTGTATATCTTCAAGATGTCATACTGCTTTGCTTTTATTTGTTCCCATTATTCTACTTCAAATTTTATTTTTATTCTTATTTTAACATCGCACAATTTAAAAAATCCTCTTAAGATGTCAGCCACAGATGCTCCTGTAAATAGGAGCATCCTTCTAAACTAAGTGCTGCCTTAAATATTTTGCTATAATTGTATATACCTGATGAGAGGTCCACGCTGACAGTTGCTAACAGTAAGGACTCTTCAAGCTAACCTTAAAACAGAGGATTTAAAAATATTTCCCATTAGATACCTATGCTTACTTTCTAGGAATTCCATTTTGGTTTCCTCTGTGTTGATACACACAGCATTGATGCCTTCTGTGGGAGCTGTGCTGCGCTTTACTTGGTTAGTTGCCAGCGAATGGAGAACACTGGTTTTTCCAGCCCCGTCCAGGCCCAGAACCAAGATCTGCCTCCCAGGAGGTTTATCCTGCGAGACAGAAAGCAGAACAACTGTTAGTCAAAGAAAGAAAGAAGTTGTGCCACATACAGAAGTCTGCGTGAAGCCATTTGTGGGCCTAGTGGAAACAAAATCTTAACAGTGTAGTGCCTTACAAGTCAGGGCATTGCCTCTGTAAAAATTTGTCAGTGGAAGAGCTCCCTCGCCTTACGCATAAAAATGTTACAAAGAGAAAAAAATGAGCAGATTCAACTTTGGCCATCTCTACCTAAGACTGTGTATTTTGAAATTTTGTCAAAATCATTCAAATAGCCATTTTTGTGAATCCTGCAAACCGGGCATCAGAAATTCTTCAATAACGGTAATAACTTGGTTGATTTAACGAAGGCATACTGATATTTTGGGGTTTGCATTATGCTATCATTGATTTTATTTCCTTCTGTTTTTTGAAAAAATAATTAAGTTTCAATTTAAATCAGTTTATCACAGACTTACGCAAATGCTTGCAATAACAATAAAGGAAATCTGAAAGTAAGGCTATATTTGAGCATAAGATATTTACTTGTTATATATTATGTCATGTCCTTATGGTTTTTGTTTAGGTATGTATTGTTGGAGATAGCAACCTTCTCAAGCCTCCTCTGTTTAATGTTTTGTTTGTTTATAATGTGTTGTATATTTCCTGAACTGTATGTCTTCTTTGGTTTGCAGTTTTCTTAGCACTATGTACTTGAGGCAGTGGGTGGGGCTGCAGTCTATGTGACTGGTTTAATGACTGTTTAGAATGCAGTTTAAAAGGGTGACAGTTGAGGAATGAGAGTTGAGACTTGAGTCAGTTGTTTTGAGAACAGAAGCCAGTGTAGGAAGTCAGAAAACTGCTGAGGCTTGAGTCCCTTGGAAGTAGACTGTTATGAAAGAGATCTGTACAGAGCAATATAGTTTTGAAGAACAGTTAAAGATACAAACTGAAACATTTTAAAGTTTAACCTGACAAGAAATGTGCCTGTATATTTAAATACATGAAGTTGTGAGTAAAACAAACATCTTATTTTAAAGAAGTCTACTTTAATCTTTGTCTGCTGAGAGCATCAAATAGAAACAGGATATTTACATGCCCAGTGATCATCCATTATCCAATAAACTAAAGGAATACCTATGAAACTTTGCTATCCGATAGGCTATGATCCTAAAAGGTCATAACCCCAATAGGTTATGATTCCAATAGGTCATAATCCATATCCTAATATGGATTGTGATTTAATTTTATTGTGAACCGCCCCAAGTCCTTATGGAGTCTGTCTGTTTGTAGTCTGTCTGTGTTATTTTCTTGCAGCAGCTGAGGATATGATCAATGGTTTCATCAGCTTCCTTGCACAGATTGCATTTTGGGTCATTCACTGATTTTTCAATCCTGGCCATAATGGCATTGGTTCTGATGGCTTGCTCCTGGGCTGCAAGAATCAGGTCTTCTGTCTCCTTCTTCAAGGTCCATTTGTGAGCCATAACCAGGTCTTCTCTTTATCAACTTTTCCTTCAATTTTGTCAAGGAACTGCCCATGCAATGCTTTGTTGTGCCAGCTGTCAGCTCTGGTTTGTAGTGCAGTTTTGTTGTACTGATTCTTTGTCTGCTGTGCTTTGAGAAGTTTCCGATTATTGACTTCAATCAAAGCAGGTTCTTGGCTTTCCTTTACATATTCTGCCAGGGCACGTTTTTCTTCTTCAACTGCTTGTTTTACTTGTGAAAGTCCTCTGCCTCCAGACCTTCCAGGCAGATATAGCCAGTCAACATCACTGCAAGGATGCAGTGAATTATGAATGGCCATGAGTTTTCTTGTTTTTTTTGTCCAAATTGTCCAGTTCTGTCTACGTCCAGTTTATGATGCCAGCAACATATCTTATGACAGGTATGGCCCAGGTGTTTATGGTCTTGATGTTATTGCCTCCATTGAGATTGCTTTTGAGAATTTTTCTGAACCTTTGAGTGTATTCTTTGCTGATCACAGTTCATGTTTGATGTTGTCCAGCTGTAGTATGCCCAGATATGCCCAGCCTCTGGCTGGAGACACTTTATCGCTTGGCCATTAGGCATATTTATGCCCTCACTTTCAATGATTTTTCTCTTCTTCAGTGCCACTGTCGAACATTTGTCCAAACCAAACTCCATGTTGATATCAGTGCTAAAGATTCGGACAGTGTTAGTCGGAGACTGGATTTCAGTTTTGGTTTTCCCATACAGCTTTAGGCCATCCATGTACAGCAGATGTGAAATTTTGTGAGATTTCTTAGATGTTTGATAGCTGAGGGTTTTTTTATTGTTGTTGTTGTTTAAAAACACAGAGAGGGCTATAGTTGTATGTACATGCAATCCTGTAGATATAAATAACTCAATATGGGTTACATCTTAGTAGGGCACAGCAATCGACTGCAATTACAACTGAGAAGAAGCAGTCAAACGATATATTAAGGAGCTCTCACATAACTTGGAAACGTATCAGGGTTCCTCAATAATAGAAGTCAAGCTTCTCTGAAAGATTGCTTGCTCATGTTATCAAAATATGCCTCAGAAAGATACAAATATGGGAATATCTTAGAACAGCCTTTCAATTTACTCTCATTCATATGTATGTATGTATGTATGTATGTATGTATGTATGTATCTGAGATGATAGCTACAATTATAAAACAGAAGTAGTGGAAGACCATATGTGCCACCTTGAGCTTTTGGGAAAAGTTATGATACAATTAAGTATCTGTATCTATCTGTCGCATGAACCTCTGCTTCCTGCTCTCTAACACATAATGGTTTCATAAAGAAAACAACCCAAGGTATCTTAAATATTAACAGATAAGTCCACATGTTTTTACTGTCCTTCAAGACTTTTTGTTATATATAGCCAGCAGACAAAAACAGACTTTCTTCTTTAATGCCAACAGACTTTTCTTCTCTGAAACAGATTCTGAAAAACATCCACCAAGAACTGCTAGCCAGGGCAGTTTATTTCAGAAAATGCTATTCACCGACTGCTCTCCGACTGCTGTATGGCTTGGAATTTGTTTTTAAAACTACTCAGCAATGCTTATGTAACATAATGCAGCCAAAGGCCTTTCAAACTAATACAACTTACTGTTCATCAGGCAGCACTGCCAAAGGCAAAGGAAAAAGCCAGAGAGGCATTCATGATGAAGAAAAACTACACCCTTCATAGGAATTAGGGCAAAAAGGCCATGGGGGGAAAAGCAGAAAAAAATGGACAACAGTTTTGGGGTCCCTGTCCCCCCGAAGCCTTTCTGCCCCTCGGAAAATGTATTATGGTATCAGTTCTTTATAATTATCCTTGTTTTCCTTTTCATCATTATTTTAAAGGAATGAGAGCATTATGTCAGCTTGATGCTATTGAGAACTCTGTGTGCATGTGTACGCCTTCAAGTTGCCTTTAGATTTATAGCTACCCAATTCATTTCATAGGGCTTTCTCAGGAAACAAATATTCAGATGTGGGTTTGCCAGCTCCTTCCTCTGAAACAGAGTCTAAAGCACCTGCAGAATTAATTGATGGTCTCCCTTCCAAGTAGTAACCAGGTCTGACCCTGAGAACCAGTTTGGACAAATTTATTTTTCTATTTAACTAATGTTGATAGTTTTATTTTTATTAGAGATGCCTAATCAAATGAGGTTCTTTCTGGTTCACAGATATTTTACAGTTTAGGATCTTGTAGCTCCTTAAGTAACAAAAAAGGGGGGAGGGAAACAGGTGAATTTATAATTATTTTCTGAATAAAGTGTAAATTTAATTAACATGACAATTCTATGCCAAACAAAGTTCCATATAATGCATTTTCCCTAAAGCCAGGGGAAAAAAGATTTTCAACCTGGAAAGGTTGCTAATATTGCATTCACAAAATATGTTCAGAGGGGTTTTGTGTGTGTGTATTTGTTTTTGCTAACACTTTTCTCTGGAGTTGAGAGAGTATGACCTCTTCCAAACCAAGCTATTTGAACCCTGAGCTCCTAAATTATAATCTGAAGTTCCAGACATATGCAGTTATTATGCAAATCCATATTCTCTGTCTGTGTCACTCTCTCACACACATATATATGCCACAGAGTACAATGAGCAGCCTGACCAGTATGGCTGACCAGCAAACAAAGGAGAAATGTCCTATTTTAATCATCTACCTCTATGGCATGTATTGCCCAGTGAAGAGAAAAACACCTATGCTCCCTTTCTCTGTTAATTACAGTATGATTTCCTCATCCTTTGTCCCCCGCCCTCACTAAAAGACATTCCAGTGCTATTCTATGGTATACATCCAGCCCCAGTATAGTAAAAATATAGGGTTCACTATTATGCATGTTTTCAGGTATCAGAGAGAGGTTTTGAAATGCACTCCTTGAAGAAATTGCTTTACCCTGAGATAACACCTCCATAGGAACTTCTAGATCTTTCGGCATGATAATATGGTCAACTTCTGTTAGAACTTCACCGTTGAATCGCATTAGAGGACAGAGCTTTCCAGAAGTGTTGCCGAAGGCTTTCATGGCCAGAATCACTGGGTTGCTGTGTGTTTTCTGGGATGTAAGGCCATGTTCTAGAAGCATTCTCTTCTGACGTTTCACCCACATCTATGGCAGGCATCCTCAGAGGTTGTGAGCTCAGTTGGAAACTAGGCAAGTGAGGTTTATATGTCTGTGGAATGTCCATGGTGGAAGAAAGAACTCTTGTCTGTTTGAGGCAAGTGTGAATGTTGCAATTGGTTACCCTGATTAGCATTTAATGGCCTTGCAGCTTCAAAGCCTGGCTGGTTGCTGCCTAGGGGAATCCTTTAAATCCTTTCCAGAGGTGTTCTCTCTAGAAATCTTCCAGCATGGAGGAAGGAAGACGTATTCAGGAGGACCTAGAGATTCCTAAAGACAGTATTTTTAATCAAGTCTGAATAACTAAATCCACAAAAGTGGAGCGACAACAACACACCTTGACTAGATGACTCTCAGTGACTCAGTTACTGAGCTAAGTTTAATCTTTTGGAAGTCTATTACAGTGGGACAGTTCTTTAATCAGTTGTAAGAACATTAGTTACCGCATAAAAAGAATGAGGAACACACGCAAGTGGTAAAGAAGCAAACTGTTGAAAATGACTCATCACAAAGCCAGAGAGACTGTCTTGAACCGATTCCAAGATAAAGCACAGGTAGAAGAGCCACCCTCAGGCTCTCCTATCCTATTCTAATCTCTTCCCACCCCGGCATTAATAGGATTCCACTTTACTGGGTTTAGTCTAATCTGTCTCTGACCTTAAAGTGTTGTCCATGTCTGGCGACAAGGCTTAGTATACCTGAGTACCACAGCAAACCGTAAGATGGCTACAAAACATAATTGTTGTTTTATAAAGAGCAGAGATGATGTCTAAGATGTATAAAGCGATGTCAAATATATGTCAGAAATGTGTTAAGCAATGGCAAAAACAAAATAATTCAGGATGAAAAGTGGAAGAAGTCAAAATGAAGTGCTTTGTGGCTGCAAAGAATGTTTGTTGTCATTTACCTTCAAGTCACCTCTGACTTCTTAGCAAGATGTATTCAAAGGAAGTTTGTTTAGAGTCTTATTACAACACTCAAATCATAACATATTGGCACTAGCAAAAATGGAAAGAAAATTTGTGTTGCTTTTCTTTTACTCCTTTTTGCTTAGAGACAGCAAGAATGAGACTTGTGACTATAAAACTATGGTTTTATTTATTTATTTATTGTGTTTGTATACCGCCCTTCTCAACCCTCAGGCGTCTCAGGGCTGACTTAGAGAGCCAGAATATTGTAGTGATTTGAATGTGTTGAACTAGTACTACAGGGGATTCGGGTTCAGATCTCTGATGAGCCATGGAAACCAATTTGGTGACCATGGGCAAGTTACACTCCCTCAGCCTCAGAGGAAAGCAATGGTAAACTACCTCTGAATAAATCTTGCTGCAAAAAAGTCACCACGGGTCTGAAGCAACCTGAAAGCACTTGCTAGTAATGACGGTTTTCTACCACTATTGCCTGAAGAGGCCAAGGCTTTGAAATCTCACTTGATGGATTTTTTGTACCTTTTGGAATAACTGCAATTTTAAAAAAGCATCAAGAGTTCAAAAAATCTAAATCCAAACCTATATTATAATTCTAGCCCCCCTTTTCCCTCCATGTGCATTAGAGATGAGCTTGCCAAGAGCTTGGTTTATAGCCACCATGTGCAAAAGGCCACCAAAAGTATTTGTCAACGAAGGACAGTGTTACTAGGTTGTGATCTAGCCACACCATTCCCTCTTATACAGGCCTTAATGAGTGAAATTTGCAAGCCAAAACAGAACTTCCAGAAAACAATATAAAATATGTTGTTGAAGGCTTTCATGGACAGAACCACTGGGTTGCTGTGAGTTTTCTGGGCTGTATGGCCATGTTCCAGAAGCATTCTGTCCTGATGTTTTGCCCACATCTATGGCAGGCATCTTCAGAGGTTGAGAGATCTGTTGGAAACTAGGCAGCTTTATTTATTTATTTCATATATTTGTATCCCACCCTTCTCACCCCCTAGGAGGGACTCCAGGCGGCTTACAACAGGAAACCATTTGATGCCATCAAACAGATTCATAAATAACAATTGCAATTAAAACATTACTGCTCTTTATTTACTGGGTAATAGTATGATAGCAGGGTCCGGAAGCTCCGAGCATATGGAGATGCCGCAAATGTGTGAATAAGGCGTGGGGGGCGTGGGGGGGGGGGGGGGGGGGGGGGGGGGGTGTAGTGAGAGCGGGGAGAGCGAAGGAAGGATAGAAAGGAAGGGACACTTAGGGTAAGGGTTAGGGCAAGGTTTAGGGTTTGGGTTAGCATAAGGGTTAGGGTTTGGATAAGGGTAAGGGGTTAGGCTTACGGTATGGTTCAGGGTTAGGGTAAGGGTTAGGGTTTTACCATTAAAGAGCTCTTACATTCCTTCTGTATTATCTGTCTCCGGCCTGGCTTACATTAGCTAAGTCCTTCTTGCGCAAAACAGAGCTCCCGAAGGAGCGATGCGGCATCTCCATAACACTCTGAGCTTCCGGACCTAGCTATCATACTATTACCATTTACTGTCATAATTTAAAGGTTTTTTTAAATACTGGTAGCAAGATTTTATTCATTTTCATAGTTTCCTCCTTTCTGATGAAATTGTCCATATGCTTGAGGATTTCAGTGGCTTCTCTTGTGTAGTCTGATATGGTGGTTGTTAGAGCGGTCCTGTGTTCTCAAATAACTGAGAACAATAATCAATCTGGGCCTGCTAATATCTCCAAACAAAGGATCTCCCCAGGCAGCAATTAGCCAGGCTTTGAAGCTACATGACCATTAAATGCTAATCAAGGTGGCCAATTGAAACATTTACACTTGCCTCAAGCAGACAAGAGTTCTTTCTCCCACCCTGGACATTCCACATATATACAAACCCCACTTGCCTAGTTTCCAACAGACCTCACATCCTCTGAGGAAGGGGTCTTCAAACAAAGGCCCGAGGGCCGGATATGGATTTCCAAGGTCATTTACCCGGCCCTCGATCAGGGTCAACCTAAGTCTGAAATGACTTGAAAGCACACAACAACAACAATCCTATCTCATCAGCCAAAAGCATGCCCACACTTCCCATTGAAATATTAATAAGTTTCTATTTGTTTAAATTGTTCTTCATTTTAATTATTGTATTGTTTTTAAGTGTTTTTGAACTACAAATAAGATATATGCAGTGTGCATAGGAATTCATTCATGCTTTTTTTCCAGAATTATAATCTCGCTCTCCAACACTTTGAAGGACTGTGACCTGGCCTTCTGTTTAAAAAGTTTGAGGTCCCCTGCTCTGAGGATGCCTGCCATAGATGTGGGCGAAACGTCAGGAGAGAATGCTTCATAGAATCATAGAATCAAAGAGTTGGAAGAGACCTCATGGGCCATCCAGTCCAACCCCCTGCCAAGAAGCAGGAATATTGCATTCAAATCACCCCTGACAGATGGCCATCCCGCCTCTGTTTAAAAGCTTCCAAAGAAGGAGCCTCCACCACAGTCCGGGGCAGAGAGTTCCACTGCTGAACAGCTCTCACAGTCAGGAAGTTCTTCCTCGTGTTCAGATGGAATCTCCTCTCTTGTAGTTTGAAGCCATTGTTCCGCTTCTGGAACATACAGTCCGGAAAACTCACAGCAACCCACCTTATAACGTTCCCATATAATAATCATCCACATTGTATGGGATGATAACGCTCCCAAAATATCATGGGGGGCGGGGCAGGGGGCTCTTTAAAAAACTGGGCCTGTGAGAGAGCGATGATGATGCCACTGTACCCAAGGTGGGCTGAGTGGTCCTTGCAGATGCCCGGATGTACTGTAGATGCCTTTGTTTACCTGCGGCTCTTGAGGCGGAGGGGCGCTCCCCAGCGGGGACTCTTCCTTGGCCTCCAGGAAAGGGGGCGCCGGCGGGGCGGAGGCGTAGCTCTTCCAGGCGGCATAGGCCACCCCTCCGGCGACGGCCACCGCGGCGCCCAGCAGGGCCACCTGCCGCAGGCTGCTCGCCATGGCCCCCGGGGAAGCCCAGCGCCTGTCCCCGAAAGGCCCGCTTCCTCCCTCCTTCCCGCCCTTCTCTCAGCAACACTGGGAGGGCAGGCCTCGACCTGCAGCATAGCAACCGGGGGCGGGGCTTGTTGTCATGGGCGTGCCTTCCGCCTCGGCCCCGCCCTTAGTCTCGCGGGCTGGCCTGACCTTTGTGCATCATGGGAGTTCTAGTTTGGTGAGTCACCAGCATTCTTTGGCAAAGAAAACCAAAGAGCAACACTCCAAAGATGGGAATTTCAGTCTGACAGGGTGGTCTAGCATTTCTGTGTTCTCCAATAATATGCTGCGTCCAGTATTTCAAAACTCTAAAATCAGGACAGTAAATAAAGAACAACACTCAGAAAACAGGAGAATTGCAGACATGACACAATCAGGGGGAACAAAGGATCCCCCCAGGCAAGAAGCAGCCAGGCTTTGAAGCTGCAAGGSCATTCAATGCTAATCAAGCTRGCCAATTGAGACATTCACACTTGCCTCAAGCAGACAYCCGGGACATTCCAGATATATAAACCTCACTTGCCTAGTTTTCTCCCACCCGGGACATTCCAGATATATAAACCTCACTTGCCTAGTTTCCAACAAACCTCACAATTTCCRAGGATGCCTGCCATAGATGTGGGCAAAATGTCAGGAGAGATTGCTTCTGGATAGAATCATAGAATCATAGAGTTGGAAGAGACCTCATGGGCCATCMAGTCCAAWCCCCTGCCAAGAAGCAGGAAAATTGCATTCAARCCACCCCCGACAGATGGCCATCCAGCCTCCATTTAAAAGCCTGCAAAGAAGGARCCTCCACCAMACTCYGGGGCAGAGAGTTSCACTGCTGAATGGCTCTCACAGTCAGAAAGTTCTTYCTCATGTTCAGRTGGAATCTCCTTTCTCATAGTTTGAAACATGGYCATACAGCCTGGAAAACTCAACAGCAACCCAGGACCAAAGACATTGTAAAACTACAACTCCTAGAGTGTGCTACTCTAACCAACAGGACTGATGYACATTTTGGGTTATTGTAGGTTTTTCGGGCTATATGGCCATGTTCTAGAAGCATTCTCTCCTGACGTTTTGCCTGCATCTATGACAGGCATCCTCAGAGGTTGTGAGGTCTGTTGGAAACTAGGCCAGTGAGGTTTATATATCTGTGGAATCTCCAGGATGGGAGAAAGAACTCTTGTCTGCCTGAAGCAAGTGTGAATGTTTCAACTGGCCACCTTGATTGGCATTTAATGGCCTTGCAGTTTCAAGGTCCAACAGACATCACAACCTCTGTGGATGCCTGCCATAAATGCAAAGCAAAGCATCAGGAGAGAATGCTTCTGGAACATGGCCATACAGCCTGGAAAACTCACAACAACCCAGTGATTCTGGTCAAGAAAGCCTTCGACAATAATATAATATTCCACCCTGTTTTTGTCCAGGAACAGCCTGTCCTGGAGTGCCTTGCCATAAATTCCTTCAAAGGACCCAATTTACACACTGGATTTTTCTGAACCCAGAGTAGATTCTAGAGGGCTTATGTGAAGGTAAATCTAGCCAAAGTGATCCATCCTGTGAATCTTGACTAACTTTTCACTTGGTGAACTTATTGGTTAAACAACTGAAGCATATAGCTGACCTTGTACAGCATTCAGAAACTGCAGGTAGTGTAAACTGTCAGCTACTGTGTTCTGTAATGTGCTTTAGAGCAGGGCTTCTGAAAACGTTTTCCACTCAACCCTTTTTCACTCAAGAAATTTTTAACCCTGTTATATTGGAATATAAAAATATGTTTACAAATCAAACATTTACTGATAACAAATCAGCATTTGCAAGGATTGCTAAACAGGCTGACTTTCCTTTTTTGTGGAGTACAGCGGAAGCATATTCTGCAGAGTTCACTGTAAGCACTGCATGCTGTTGCTACTTTTACTGTAGCCAATTTTTTCATTGAGCGAAGAGTACCCCAAATGGGGTCGGGATCCGCAGTTTAAGAAGCAGTGCTTAGAAGAACGTTGGTAATCAATTTTGAACCATTATACTAGATTTGGAGGCAGCATTGAGCATTGGATTGCAACTCTGGAGAAAGGGTTCAAATACAACCTTGGGCCAGCCACTCTCAGCTTCAGAAGAAGAAAAATCCCTTCATTACTGTTATGTCTACTCTCTGCAAAACTTACCATATTGCTATGGAAAAGAACATAATCTTGTGTTTGATAGAAGATACACAAAAGGATACGATTGACCCTATCTAGTGAGCATTACCTGAAAGCCTTGTTTTTGTGCAAAGCTGCTGACAAGGCCAAGATTAGAAGTAAAATGAGTTAAGTGTTCTGAGGTTCTTCTCTGACTTTACTTATTTACTTATGAGGAAACCTAAAGATCCAATTCAAAAATTTAACTGAAATTATGTATGGCAACATTTGAAATTGGTTAATATGAAATTTCAATTCATATTTATCAGGCAGCAATAGAGATATTTACACGGGTCAAGGAGTAAGATAACTATACCATGCTATATGCCGAGCAGAGTTCAGCTGTTCTTCTCTGCTAAAGTTGCACTAAAGGAAAATTAATTCAACAGGCTACACAGGAGTTAGTCAAGGCCTTGAGCACATAGTTCAGCAAAACACCTGATCTCTGTATAGAAAATAGAAGCAGCAACTATCAGTTTCCATGGGAAAACTAGATCTGTTTCCTTCACCTGTGTTAATTCAACATGTGTATCAATCATACACTACTGAAGTAATTTGAGAAAGCAGAAGTTGCTGCAGAAATGTTGTAAACAGGACTCGGACCATTTCTCTTTCAGCAGAAATCAAAACTTCCACACAGCATTGAGGAGCCCTGACATTTGGGATTTATTCTTTTGGAATAACATTGTTTGCAAGTTCCCATATTTCAATATTTTCAAAAGTATCTATATTAAGGTTTAGGTAAAATGTAGACTTTTATGTCATTTTTATCAACTGCACTGAAAAACTGTAAACAGTACAGCGTTTTTAGTTGGCACCATATCTGCACTGAGCAGGAAAGCTCAAAATAAACATTTTCATAGTATTACACCATTGTACATTGTCCTGAGTGTGATGAACGGACACAGCATAGATTGGAGCTAGGAAATAGAGAATTGGTCAGCAGACAACACTCACTGCAAGTGGCATAACAATGACTGCAGTACTGAACAACCTTTCCTTGAGGCCTGGGTCCTTGCAAGTGGCAATCCCCACCACATCCCATGGGCTCTGGTACAGAGACGAAAGGCAGAAGGAACATCCCTGCTGACAAACACTTTTTTGAACAAGTCACATTCATGTTGTTTTTGTTTTGACTTTTATTAAGCTCTTGGCATTCAAAACTGGAAGCGAAAGAAAAGACAACTGCAATCAGAACAGCCTGCTTGTTGTGATCACCAGGCTCCCTTCCCACCTTTCTTTTTCTTCTGCTGCTGTTTCTTCTTGGTTGCTGCTGCACCAACAGGTTTCTGATGCCTTGGTGGTATCATGTTGGCTGTTGAAGCAGACGGGACGGCAGTTACAGTGCCAGGCCTGGGAGAGGTCGGTGGGCTGCTTGCAGTTTTGCTGGCATCCCTGCAGAGAGAGAGACAAGGAGGGCTACTGTCATGATGATCCAGAGGCATAGTATACTATTCTCGAGTCAAGATCATGCCCCCACCAATTTTAAACATCTTGCCTAATAATGAAGAAGCTACAGGCAATCGCTGGGTTACAGACACAATATGTTCTGTAGGTTTGTTCTTAAGCTGAATTTGTATGTAAGTCAGAACAGGTACACTTTTTAAGTGTGACTCCAGACAAAAAAATATTGTTTAGCTTTAAATAGCACAGGGAAGGGTTAACCCCATTTTAACATTGTTTTGCTGTCTGTGCCCCATTCAGAAGATTTCACCCAACTTTCTGTCCCTGAGACAATTGGATTTTGAAAATGTTGAGTTGTCATGGAAACTAAGATTGGTGATAAATACCGTTTCCCCAGGATAACTCTTCCAGGATTGAATTTCCCACCCTAGTGGTAGATTTTCTCTCACTTCCTGTTGTCTTGCCTACATTTACAACTAGGATTGGGTGTAAGTTGGATATTTGTAACTCAGTGACTGCCTATATTCTTCTGCACAAATATCACATGTAACCTCTGGTTTTTGCTAGTAAAATACACATAAGCAGCAAATTTGGTCAAAGACTAGACCAGCACAAACTTGTATCCTGCAAAAAGTAAAGTCAACAAATCTATTTAATGAATTGATTAATTTAAAATATTTTTATTTATAAGTAATACAAAGGCAATGACTTTATTCATAACTAACATTTACAAGCCATTCACAAATGGAACAGCTGCAAACTTTTTGTCTTTTATCTGTACCTGAAATTATATGCCATAGTTGTTGGAATGTTTACACCCAACACAAACACTTCTAGTATCAGGAAAAAATTACATCATTAAACAGCTGGAAGGCACATGGTGTTTGTATAATGGCTTCTTGCTTCCTTCTCTATGTTACAATGGAGTCTGTGCTTAGAAGTTATAATGAGGTCATTTTCACCCATTTCCCTTCCTGTGAGACTGCCATTTTTCCTCTGCAGTAAAATCAGTACTCTTTTATTCCCTTTTCCTTGCTCTGAGACACAGAGAAGACTGGAATCAAGGCTTGTACAGTCAGACACAGTTACTCACAATTCAGAGGATGCTGTGGTCATTGCTCCCTGGGTGCCTTTCCCGATCTGGTCCTTCTTTTTGCCCTTCTTTCTCCCACGGTAGTACGAGCGTTCCCTCATTGGAAGCCAGCGCTCAGGGTCAGGGGTCACTTTAGGATCATAGTTCTTTGGCAGTTTTCCTAAAATCGTATTTGGCAAGGGATAGCCATTTGTATAGCTTGATTCAATACAGCCACATAGTTGCATATATGCATTACATTGTTCTAAATGTTGTTTTCAGCAATAAATACTTTGTTGTTGCATTTAACATACTGTATTAGGATGAAATACTAGCTTATGAAGAATTTACTTATGAGACTTATATTAAAATTACACAACAAAGGCCCCATCAGTAACTTCCCCCAAAATGTTTGCGCTAGGAAGGTATTTGGGGGACATTCATAAACAGGACCTAAGGCAACATTCTTCTCTTGTTGATTCTCCCAGAAAATGGCATTCAAAAGTAAACTGCTTCTGTACAAGAGCTCTTTTAAAGAAGCTACCATCAAAGTGGCTCTACTGCCAAGAGTTTCTAGCCTACTAAAAAAAATCTACTCGGTTTACACTTGAGTCATTTTTAAACTTTCCTCCTAGGCTGGCAGTGTTTAGATTCTCTTAGATAACTTCCCTAAAAGCACCAATAGCTCCTAAGTAATGCCAATGCAACACTCACCTTTCTTTTTCTTCTTCTTTTTCTTGACATCCCCCTGGCTGAAAATAAATAAATAAAAAACATTATGCAAAACATCTACCTCAAATGCAAACAAATGCAAACAAAATGAACAGTGCTGATGTGTGCCAGGGAAGAAGTTTGGAGGATATGTTTTGGAAAGAGGGAGAAAATGCTGCAACTATTTGTAACTATAGGACAGGTTTATTTTTTATTACTGAGTTGGAATTCGCAACATTATTTCTTTGAACGAACAAGTATTAAAACAACCCTTTTACCCTTGTTCTTTTTGCTGGTTCTCAGGCGTAGGCTTCCCTCCTTTCTTCCGAACGTAGGTAGCTCCATGAGAGTTTTCAAGAGCATCCACATCTACTTTCAAAGACATTGCATCTGAGGAAGGGAGGTGTTTGCTAAGACTATTGCAAGGAAGGAGTTTAGGAACAACAATATGCATGCTTCAAGTAAATAGCAAAAGGCAAGATTCTTCTCAAGGATACATTAACAGACAGAAACAAAAAGTACATAGGGAGGGGACCTGAAGAATTTCATGTTGGGGGAGAGGGTGTGTAGGACAGAGGGATAGTTTTTCGTCTATCTTTTGAGGTAGGGAAAAGCGCGAGCACAAGGGCCTAGGCTTCTAAAAAGAAAGAGAAATTATAGAATCCTAGTTGGCATATTTGTTCAGCTGAAAACAAGATCACTTATGCCTCTCTGCTCACCATCCCCTGCAATGCAGTGCTGGACTGTGTATTATATGAATATGTATCCTGTGAGATAATGAGGACATTGGAAAGGCTTGCTCAAAAGTCAATACCAATTGGCAAGTCCTAAAACATGTCATCAATTTCTCTGAAATGTATCTAAATATGCTGACTGGCACTTAACATTTTCTTCAGTATTTATAGCACTGTACAGAGGTATAAATCAATGTTTATACCCTGAAAAACATCAAACAACTGCTATGTCTATTTTAGGGAACAGTCAAATAATGCCTCGTACTTCCATCTCTTTCAGCCATATAAGGAAGGATACACTTTAGCTTTCTCAGCATCAACCAGGGAGTAGGCAGAAATGAGCTGGGCCAAGGTGTGGACATCATCTGGATTTTGCCTATAAAGATGTGGAATAATCACAGAAACCTCTGAGAGAAAGCAGACAACTCAGTGCTTAACACTAAAGGAACTTGAGACCCGAGTATTTGAAGGAACTCCTCTCCCCACATATGTCTCTCTGAGAGTCCTGTGATATAGAACAGGACATAACTATTAAATAAACGAATCAACATTAGCAATCAAGTGAGGTGTATTCCTTCTGTTTCCCATGAGATTCACATACATGTAATATGTAAAGATACATGCAGTCTCTGTAGTAGAATATCTAGGTACAGTTCAGAGATGCTCCAGCCAACTATAACACAGGCAAATACACCCTCATTAAGAAGGACATCAGTATGGTCACTTATATTGACTGCCAGATTTAAGCCCTGACTCAGTCACAGAACCAACTATTTAGCTTTCTGGGGGCCCTACCACACAGCCCTATATCCCAAAATAATGGCAGAAAACCCTACAATATCTGCTTTGAACTAGGTTATCTGAGTCCACATTGCCATATATTCCAGTTCAAAGCAGATAATGTGGGATTTTCTGCCTTGATATTCTGGGATATAGGGCTGTGTGGAAGGGCCATGGGTTGATACCACTGTCTCACTTTCCAATCACAAAATTACTGGGAAACCAGAAGAAAACAGAGTTGAATTAATTTATTAAAATAACACACCACATTAAATTATACTAAAGCGTATTTATATTTTTAAAAAGAAATTCCAGAAGTATAAACATGTACTGTACTCCAAACAGTATACCACATACTATCATCTGCAAGCAGTTATGTTCTTTGCCACATTTATGGTGAAAGTGTTTTAATGCACTGCCATTTTCCCTCTATGAAAATAATTTAGGGTAATGAGTAATGTGCAGTACAAGTGATCAGGTAACCAGTACATATTTTCTGTGGCATAAGAAGGTAAACTGAAAAAAGTATCAGATTCTCACACTGGTCCTGTAAAATTGCCTATAAATCAATAGCAATGTAGGAAATGTCTACTTAAAATAGGATTGCTGGGCATTACAAAGTCAAAAAATTTAAAATTTAAAAAGGACAGCTACTTTAAAAAAAATAACGGATCATAAATTATAGGCACCAAGTCTGTTAGTTTTTCAGATATTCTGGCAGTAAGTTGAGAAATTTGGAATGTGCTTCTAGGGAGCAGCCATTGTGTGGTCTAGACCCATTATCCTAAAGAGTTTTTCAATGTTTAGCCATATATATTTGCATTTAATTCTAGACCTGGCTTTCAAATATATACCAACTTTGTACAAAAAATTTCTAAAGACACTGTGTATAACATAGCCTTTAGTCTATGCATAAAAGGTGTATATGAAAACAGAAATAAATTATATTTATAGGTTTGGATCCCATCCCCAAGATATATCATTACATATATGCAAGCATTCCAAAATCCAAAACACAAAACACTTCTGGTCCCAAGCATTTTGGATAAGAGATAATCAACCTGTAATACGCTCTACTATTCTAATGAAGGTAAACATGACATATTTACAAAGATATTTCCGTACACTCCTGAAATAACTGTCAACGATCCCTTTAGAAATAAAGATATAAAGGAATCCTGCAGCACCTTTGAGATTGAGAAAAAGACATTTCCAGCATAAATTTATGTGGACTCCAGACTGTTTCCTCAAATGCATCTGATGGGAATAAATTGAAACAGATGCTAGTCACTTCATTTAGTCAATCAGGACTTTTTTATAACTTTTTTATGCTGGAACAGACTAACATAGCTGTATCTTTGAAACCTCTTTAAGAAGTGAAACCATCCACTGAAATAGGCTCACTTGTTTAGCTCTCAGGGAAGGACTTACTTCCACAGCTCCTCCAGATCACTGATGGCTTCCTTCTTTCGGCCGTGCTTGAGCTTGAAATTTGCGGCTTCCCTGATAAGTGACAAGTGAACTGGAGACTTTGGCTGGAATTAGAAGAGGGGACAAGGTGTTAAAACACCTCACACCTATCAGAAAATTAGGCATTTCTATCGATTTCTACAAACCAGAAGTTCCCTCCTGGCATTCAGTCACTCTCTTTCTCAATCTCTTCTTTCTGGTTTTAAAGCAAGTTCATTATGCAAACCATATCCTCTACAGGTTAACTGGCAGAATTACCCATTCTCAGTGAAGAACGACTGGAAAGAGACAAGGCCAGAACAGTAAATCATGCAGAGATGAAATGGATTGACTTTGTGCATACTGCTGGCTGAAATGTATTTCTTGCAGCACAATATTATTATTGTTACTATCATCATCATTTATATACTGGTTATCTCTCTTAAAAGAAACTCAAAGTGGTGAATGGTAGACGTTCTATCATAATTTACAATTATGGAACTAATGTTATTTAAATATGCAAATGATTACAGATACCTTAACAACAGAATCAAACAAAATGCTATACTGAAAACAAAGCAGATATATCCTTCCCTGTATTACTATTATTCTTTCAGGGTTGGTGGTGGAAATATAAATTCAAAACGAACTCTTAACCCACACACTGTACCGACTGTCGATTATTATCACATATACACACTAATACTTGCCTGAAATTCTTGATACCATTCAATAGCTTGTGCCAAGACTTCTATGGCACTATCAATATCTTCTTCATGGCTGTACATTGTTACTAATGCCGACACCTGCAACCAATACAATTAAAGACACATGACTCTAGGAAGATAAATATATACACGTAATAAAGGAGAAAATATGTCTATGTGCATGTGGCTGGGATGCCCACTTCCACAGACAAACTCCTGCTTCCACAAACAGCTTTAACCCACAGTGCTGAGGGGCCACCAAAAGCCCTCCCTCCAATGACATTTCACGTTATAATGAGTGCCATGAACACGCAGCCCAACCCTTGTGAATGTCCTCCTCAAACACCATAGTGCTCACCACCCACTGAATGCTTTCATTTTGGGACAATTTCATCCTAGATTTTACATGTTTCTTCCACCACAGACATCCCAGTGTTTCTTACTTTCTCCACTGGTGTGGATTTTGCATGATCCCACCCACTGCCTCTTCCCTAACCCTTTCCTACTCTTTGCAATTCCACAACAAACAGAGCAGAACTAATCAGCAACTAAATATACTGGACGAATTTGGGGGATTGACTCCACATGATGGAAGTTGTAGTTTCACCCTGCATCAAGTCAAAGCACTGTGACCCCCACTGACAATGGACCTGGACCACATTTGGCATACAGAACCCCTATAACGAACGAAAAATACTGGTGCTTTTGGGGGGAATTCAACTTGATTTATAGCTGTTGTAGGTACTGGGATTTATAGTTCACCTGCAATCAAATAACACTTTTGACCCCACCAACGATGGCCCTGGACCTCATTTGGCACTCAGGACCCCAATGGCCAATAAAACATGCAGGAGGGCTTTGGGGGAAGTCCACCTTGATTTATAGGAATTATAGTTCACCTACATCCAGAGAGCACTGTGAACGCAATCAATGTTGGAACTACACCAAATTTGGCATGCATACCCAATATGCCAACATTTGGAAACTAGTGGGTTTTGGAATTGAATTGGCCTTGATATTTGTTAGTTATAGGTACTGGGACTTATAGTTCACCTGCAATCAAAGAGGAGGGACTGACCCACCATGGTGGGAGTTGTAATTCATCTTGCAGCTGGAGAGCATACTGAACTCCACCGATGCTGCATCTAGAGAAAACTTGCCCAACATGACAAACTTTAAGTATTGAAGGAGTTTCCAGGAGTTAATCTGGCATGTTGGGAGTTGTAGTTCACCCACAACCTTATGCATTTTGTAAAATAATAATAATAAAAGACTTCTTCTAATAACTTGGGCAACGCCAGGTACACAAGCTAGTTTATTGAATAAAGAGTGGTCTAGTAAGTACAATAACTGGGTAAACACTTTCTTTTTGGATTACCCGTAACTTTTTAAGTGCAACTTGAACCTTGTATCAAATTATAAAACACCAATTAAGCATTGAAAACCTATATTACAAAGAATCAGTACTGGATACATTCAAGACAAATGCAATCAAGGAACCTCTTAAAATAAAGTAACTTGAGTATTACTAGAACAGGAGTACAGTAAGCCCACTGGATCCACAGATTCTGAACTTATGAGATTCAGCCACCCATAACTTGAAACCATTTGTTTAAAATTTCAAAACGTAAACCTTGATTTTATGTAAGGGACACCTTTTTACAAGACCTACTAAATATAATGGACTTGAGAATCCGTGGATTTAGGTTATCACGGGGGGGGGGGGGGGGGGGTGGCCCTGGAAGCAAACCTCAGCAGATACCAAGGGCCCATTGTACAGTCTAAATTCTATTTGTTTCCAAAGAAAATAAAACCTTTGAGTCTCTGAGAATTGAAAAGCCAACACTTACACTAAATACTTTGATTCAATGGTTGGGTAGGAAAGGCTAGTAAAAAATATCTAATTCATGAAAGATTGTGTGTGGTATGACAAATTCAGCACCCCAAAATACACTAAAAACAGCAATAATATTGAACAAAGATTTTTCATTACAAATCTGGACCATTTATAGAATATAGAATTTTGGGGTTATCTTGGTGAAGAATTTTACT